ATGGCTGGACATTTGCTAATATCTTTATTCAAACCATTTCAACAATTTTATTAAATCGTCGTTATGTGATATACTTTCTTATAATTATTCTTGCAGAGATTGCATTATTTTCTTCATATGAAAGAATCATAAAACATTATTCTACCAGATAAAGAGGTATGCAAAGGAAAGAATATTCCTTACAGAACTGTATCCGTTTAAGCTGATTCATGTTGGTATTCAAGGTGGCTCCTGATGATACTTAAAAGGAAAATATTTTACGAAAATGTCTTTTCAGATCTGATTAAGTATGTCTTAAATGTAACGAGACCATATTTTAAGAATTTGATTACCTTTTGAAATTCAGCATAGATAAGAGTCGTCATCAATAAAAGATGACTTGGTGTACCATTTTGCATACTATTTAAAAGTAAAACAACAATTTTTTTATTTACCTTCCAATATGATTTAATTTTAAAGTGATTTTTTACATGCTTTAATAAGATCAAAATATTCATTGGTACCACTTGACTGACACGTTCTTATTAGAGTGTGTAATTTTGTTCTCAGAAAAGTGGAAAGATACCAAGGGGGTCACCAAAAGCCATCAGTCGAGGCACGACAGACAATATCATAATCAAAAGAACAACGATTGTAAACTTATATGCTCCTAAGCAATGCCTGCCTCCTACACAAATCGTGTAACTACTGTTATGTTCGGTTAAGTCGTAGTCGGTTTGAAAGTATTATACATTGGTGAATTGGTAAACTTCTATCATTTTATTTAAAACATACATGTTGTTGATTGGTCAACCTCCCCTAACTTGAAACAGTGAAGTAACTGCACAAAATGAGAACACATTGTTTATATCAACTGAAAGGGTTTGGACTCGAATTTTTCATAAAACGGATACATTATAGTTAACACCATTTCCAATGCCGCCGGATAACAACTCTTTGTTATGCATTATCCGCCATTCTCACCTGTGAGATATAAATCTGACAGTCCGGCTTTAAAATTGATGACCATTCACTTAAACGAAAACAAAAGACGGGATATAATTGTAAAAGGAGGATCAAAATGTGGTCTCATCAACAGGACAATAGGTAAGATAGCAACAACAGTTGGTTAAATACTGACATTTGTGAATGATTGAATATAAACCAAACATACAAAAACACCAATAAAAAAAAATAAAAAAACCAATCAACATTGATATCGTTTTTGGTTTCATATTTATATCAAACTGAGTATATTTGAAAGTTTCCATCATATTGATTGTCGTTTGCTTTACATCCTGTGGCAAATATTTCAGCCATATTCAGGACAAGAACTATCTAAAATATTACCAATAGGTAGGTTTTCCTAAAGTTTGGCGATCGGGTTATCGGATGGAAATTTTGACTGTCACTCGAAAATCAAGGTATTCTGGATATTAACAGAAATTTAACATTACAACAGGCAAACAATGTACCCTTCAAATAGTTGTTTGGTGTGTGCTCTAAACATTCGAGAGCGTAGTTCTCACTTTACAACACTTTATAAACAAAAGAAGATGTGGTATGATTACCTGTTTGACAACTCTCAACCATAGACAAAATAACAGTGAAATAAGCACTTATATGTCAACACGGCATTCAATATTGAGCAAAACCCATACCTGCACAGTGCGATACAAATGGCCCAGAAATGACACATTTAAAACAATTCAAACGAAAAACTTATGGCCTGATCTATGTACAAAACAATAAACGAAAAACAAATTCAATCTTTTTTTTAGTTGTTGTTTTTTATTTGGGTTAGTCTAATGAGTCAAAACTGTTTCTACTGTTTCGAATTCGTACAGTTTGATCTTATAATGAAAGAATACACCATGCACTCTTACCACAGATTGCTGATATATTCTTTTAAACCTGAAATGTAACCCTGGCACTTTATGTTTATTTTTTTTTAAATCCAAGTGTTTGTCTGTGCTTTTTATCAAATTGACACACACACCGCTGAGTAAACCCCAAAATAAACTCGTAAATAATGTTGTTTAACAATGCTGTTAAAGATCAAGAATGCAGTAATAAACAGACAACATATTTAAAAATAAAGCAAATATTCATTGTTTTTCAGTCGTTCTGTTGGTTGGTATAGTCGAGCGTTTGGTTTTCCTAGTATTTATGGACTTCCCCCTTTTCGAATATACATTTGAGTTCGGTAATTTAGTCATTACATCTTTTATTTGTATTCCTGTTATTTGTACAATAGCTAGCTGATTGCAGGATACTAATTAATTGATTCTACTTCACAACCCTATTTATTACACTAGGTACATTTTCAACCTCTAGACAAGAGGTTTACCTAGCATCTTAATTTTTAACGTTTAAATATCGAGAGTGAATAAACGGGATTAAGGGATGCATCTTGATTTTCTTATGATTTGATGGAAAACAACGAGTGCAATATTCAAAATGAATCTGGAGGAAAATTACACGAGACAAATATAGGCAACAATTGGTTGAGCAAAATTTATCAAACTTGTCAGATTGCACACGAATTGGAGAATTGGAAAATAAGATGTGAAGAAAACAGTTGTCAAAATATATTCGAAATATTAAAAAACGGGCACAATTTATACAACTTACAACTGTCGTATCCCTTACACTAATACTATTAATGTTTACACACAATACATATTTCTATTTAAACAAAGAAAGAATATATAATGATCAGAACCTTGTTAAGGTGGTTCATAGCACTACAGGAGGATAACTACTTAAATATCAGCTGAACGTTTTAATCACGTTCTATTGTTAAGGAAATATGAAGCTTCGCAATGATCAAAATTAGTGTTTTCTATATATTCAATGAATTTTTTCCGATAAAGTGTGTGGTTCAACCTTTTTGAAATTTTTATATCTTTGTAAAAGGGTCAAAGTAAATATTTTGTCAAAATTTTATGGAAATTAAACCAGCCAAATTAATTTTAGTGAAGGTGTTTGGTACCAGCTTAATATGGTCTCTCTTAGGAAAAAAAAAAGATTTGTATACGTCCTAATCGAGCATGGGTTTGAAAATAATAGATAGTAAAAATGTTCAACAATGTGCATGCGTTAATTAATTTGTACAATTATACTTAAAGGACTTTAGTCATCATGCATTTAATTTACTATCATTATCACTGGATTAACTGGACAATTAGTGTAAGCATGTGTTTCCAATTATAAAAGTCATCAATAATTCTGTTTATACAAAATGAAGAAAAATGAAAATGGAATTTCTGTTTGTTGCTTATAATATTTCTCTGGCGACAAGACTATTTGATGTATAAATGAACTAATTAAGAAATGTCTTTGTTGGTTTCAAGAAATTTGCCAAATAACCATGTGTTTTGTAATCTCAATATATAATTGAGATTGCCCGTAGAGTTTTATGAAAATCCAAGTAGATTTGAAAAAGTTATACAAATTTTTAAAGGCGACTATCTGAATTTAGTCCGAAATAAAAATTCTAGCTTTTTTTACCTATTGCTTAAATCTTTAAATTTGACAGCAATGGACTAACTACCAAATAACCTGGTACTTTGTAAGATCAATATATAATTGAGATAGATAGACTGATTCAGATCAAATTTGACTAAATTTAAAGGTCAAGACAGGTCGAAACTGGTCGAGACTGGTCAAGACTAATCGAGCATTGATCGAGACTGGTCGAGCATATGTCGAGACCATATTCAGACTATATAAAGATTATCAAGTCCTCAATCAGATTTATTAAGTAAAGTCTAGATCAAAGTCAAGTACATTTAATTACAGTTAAGTACTGAAGAGATTATGTCGAGTCAAATCTAAGTAAAATCTGTGCTCGACCTTACTGGTCCAGTACAAAATAGGGTTTTTTCAGACTCTGAGCAGTTTGTAGTGGTTGGGTGTCGATGTGTACTTATTGGTATTTTGGTCTAAGATACATGATTTTTTTTATTCGTTGTTATTGGCTTTGAACTAGCTGTCAGTAATTGCGAGTACTCTAAGATCTGTACTTGGTGTCTATTTTGTTGTGGCGATGTATAAATTTCATGCGACGACTGGTTTGTATTCTGTTAGTTGTTTCATGCGTTGTATCTATCTGATGAGTTAAGCCTTTTCAACTGATATTTACAGTTTGTTCTTATACTGTACAGTTACACCACTGTCCAAGGTTAGGGGGTGGTTTGGCACTAGTAAACTAGATTAACCCTTCCACATTCTGTATGTGCCTGTCCCAAGTTAGAAGCATGTAATTCAGAGGTTGTCGTTTTCACTCTATATCATATTTGTTTTTCGTTCATTGTTTTGTGCATAAATTAGGGCGTTAATTTTCTCGTTTGAATTGTTTTACATTTGTCATTTCGGGGCCTTTAATAGCTGACTATATGGTATATGTTTTGCTCATTGTCGAAGGCCGTACGATGACTTATAGTTGTTAACTTGTTTGTCATCTGGTCTCTGATGGAGAGTTGGTTCATTGGCAATCATATCACATCTTCTTATTTTTAAATTCATGATAAACTATTTATGGGAAAACTGCTGTCGTCTAATAGGAGCGCGATATATATTTGTGATTTTCCCGCCCTAAAAATGTAGGGTTCTTTGACTTTTTTGGTAAATATTTGGGAGGGGGGGTTGTCTACCATACTAAGCGATTTTGCAGAAAATGTCGCAAAATTTTGATTAGAATAAAAAAAATCTCCGGCCCTTGATAATAAATTTTGAGGACAAATTTGTGTTTGCATTAAACTTTATACAGGAGGAAAATATATTAATGTTATAGCGAACAATCACAGATGGTCACGTAAAGGAAACAGATAATAACAGTGGCTTATATAAAGCTGACTATACAGTATGGGATTTAGTCATTGTTGAAGGCCGTACGGTGACCTATAGTTGCTTACATCTACGTCATTTGGTCTCTGGTGGATAGTTGCCTCAAAAGCAATCACACAACATCTTTTAATTTATACAAATATTTTTGTCAAAATGAAGTTAACAAAAAGTGTTATCAACTATTTATTAATACAGTGAAGAAACAATCTGTCGGAGAAGACCGCACTTTTTAATTAAAAAAGAAGGTCAGTTGTTGTAAAGGAGTAGGTTCGAGAAGGCCCTAAAATGGCCACTAATTCTAGCTGAAATTTGAAATTAGGATTTATTGACCAATGTCACAAGGAATCATAGGTAATATAATGACTAGATTGGAAAAACGTTTTTTTTTGTTAAAAATTGATGTTTTTGCGTTCTATTCATGACGTCACAAATAGCACTCATTTTGATTTTCCGCGAAAATTCGATGAAAACGGGTAAATTTACGTTGATTTTTTGGAAAGGAAACACAGAGCGCATGCGTCGACAACAAAGATATTTGAACCTAATGTTTGTTATGACATTTTACATATCTGACTTGAATATTTTGTTTGTCGACGCCTGCGCTCTATGTTTCCTAGGTCTTAATTTCGTTGAAATCCGGACGATTTTGTCCAATTTCGCAAAAATCTCTATTTTTAACCTATTTGGGATGTCAAAATCAAATCTTAAAAATAAAACTCTGGCAAAAATAGTTCTATATATCTTTCTCACATGTCTTTTCATCAACTTAAAACAAATTTTATCCTGAAACACTGAACTTAATAATCGGGGCCAAATTTGGCCCTTACCAAACTTACTCCTTTGCACTTTACTTTAATCTTGTTGCGTTATTGACCAAATTTAATAAGAAATCATACCTCTCCTTTATTAATAATTAATATTTGCTGAAAAATTATTAAAACAGTAAAAATATAAAGATATCGTTGTACCAAACTGATTTCCATTGTCACAGGTACGAATTAAATATAACCCCTTTTAATTGAATCGTGAAATTGTGTAGATCATTCTTAAGTTTTCCTGTCTTTGCTTTTACCTTAAAGTTTATAATACAATTGAACACACACAGATGGACGTTGATACTAGAAAAAAAAAAAACAATAAGTAACTGTAACAATAAAGCGAATCTTCTAAGAGTCTGGATCGCTTACCTGTCAAACTTTTGCTGTTTATCGTTTCCACCAATTTTTTATAGTTTTCCAGAATATAGACAAAATTGAAATTAAAAAAATGGTAATAATTATTTTCAAGAGCAATAACTCCTAGGCCAATTTTAATAATTGTTGACTAATTTGTAGACCTTATTTTGCTGAACATTTACCCTTGTACCATTTTGTTTTATCTATTATAATTTCTGCAAAAAATGCAAAAAAAGTAAATATTTTCTTTAAAGGACAATAACTCTTATAAGTGGTCACTTGACGGTTTCGTAGATCTTATTTTGCTGAACATTTTTGTTCGAAAACTTTAATTCTATATCGTTTCTGCAAATATGTACAAAAGGGCGAACATCATCTTTTAAAGGCAATAACTCCTATATAGATCAATTAACGATTTTGGCCATGTTCACTTATTTGTAGGTCTTATTGGTCTGGCCATTTATACTATATATATAAAGATTATGTATATATGAAACAGTTTTAAAGATAATAACAAAACAAAACGCTAAATTTGCTAAAGATTGACATATCAAGGCCAATATAACTCCAAGTTGGGTTGTTTTTTTCCCCCAAAATTCAAAAGAAGATAGACCTTGTCCTTCTGAGCATTCTAACAAAGACAGTTTTGCTCTAACTGCAGATATAAGCCAAACACTGAATTTAACTCCATATGCTCTAATTCTAAAAATAGTAACTATGCTTGTTGAAACATAAAGAACTCGGAGACTATTTTGAAACAAGATTGCGTAAGGAACATTGAATGAGAGTTTGGTAAAATTTAGCACTATATTTTCAGACGAGAAAATTTTTGAAAAAGTTTAAAAAGACGAATGAACGGACGACGATGACTCACGGCAAGTGATGAGCTATAAAATTATAACGTGTCTACATTTATGTACGGATGGAGTATGAATGCTCCAATTTTTGACAAATTGATAATCTATTAATTGCATCAGATCTTACAAGAGTACTTTTAAAGTAGTTAACAAGTTTAAATCATATATTAAATGTTACATGTGCTTTTTAAGTAAAAGCATTACTATATTTTGAAATCCATTTATGTTCATGGTATTATATGAGTCTTATACCAATAAATAAATGTTATATTTAAATGGTAACTCAATCTGGTTCACTGTAAACAAAATGTCAATTTGAAAAACCTGCATAGATTATTACATTCCTATCCGATCACATTCCTTGATGACAATGCCTAGAATAAAACCACCAACAACCACTACTGTTATTACTACAAATATCGCACGTCCAAAGAGTCCAACAGTCTGGTCTTTTTCTTGTTCCTGAAGTCCTAAACATAAGTATGATTCATTAGAATAATGTACAAATGTATCCTTATTGAAATGTATAAACAATAATAAGTATCGTACAATCTGATTAAAATACAGATTATTCTGGAACATCGTTCATCATTTTAATATTTTGTTTTATTATATTCTAACTCAGTTTATATGTTCCTGACCTAGGAGGATTATACATCATAAAACCATGTAGAAACCTCAAAGTACCGTTAATACCATTACTGGTACTGTTCCCTTTTTCAGACGTATCTAATGCAGAACTGCAAGGAACAGAAAGTATTCTCGGACAGACGTCATCTCGGACACAATTTGTGAGTTACTTTTATTCTATTATATTTGATGCTTTCAAACCGTTTATCCGTGTTATACTAGAAATTTACCTGTTCTATAAGTGCAAATTTATATCGTATTCAACGGACTGTGTTTTCCTTTATATCTGACGTTTATCATAACATTTATACAACACATTGTAGAATTGTAATTTAATATGTATTTTTCAGTTCTTTTGCCATTTGTTAAATTGGATTAAGGAATAAACATCAGCACCTGATAGTCTTGTTCTGTCTTGACCCATTTGTCGGTTAATCTTACTGGATAACACAGTAAAGAGCCTACAATTTGTCTGCCTGTTATGTCTCACAGATTACGCCACTCCACGTCAGTTAAACGGCTACAACCTTCCTGTTATGCCCTACAAGTAAACGCTATGCCTAGGCGTACAGTAAATTGACAACAACCTGTCAACACGTATCCTGGCAAGCAAATACAACGAGGAATCGGTCGTGAATGCTACTTTACACTACGTAACACAGCTTGTGCATGTGGCAGTAAACGAACAACGTTGAACCAACTTTAGTGACAGTTTCTTTTAATCTAACTATCCGTTGGTTGATTAAAAAATCTGGATTCTGATCACGCAGAACGCCAAGTCGTCCAGAAAAAGAACTCCAAACAGGAGCAGAATTTCAATGGACAGCCTGTTGAAAATCCGTCTGATATCGCACATTTGGATGAAAATCCTGAGACTAGGCGAATATATGAACTCACGGAGAAATTAAGGAAGCCAACACAGAAAAACGCCAGGAGCTAGAGGCCCTCTTGTCAGATTTAGAGTTCCAGTTATTTAAAGTGGCTATGCTTTCTAACGAGCTCCAGAAACTGATCACAACACAGGAAAAAATGGTACAAGCCTATACTGATTATCGCAGGCTCACGAATACCTGAAATGCATGTAGATTTTAATAAGATATTCGACTAACTAAAGCAAACCTGGTAATGGGAACCCTACATGAGCATCGTTTCGCTCTGACACAGGTTAAGTAAAAAAAACCCAAAGAAATCAAAGAGCAACAGAAAGGCAGAAAGCGGAAGCGCAAACGTCTTTAATTTGTCTAGCTTAACACAAAGAGTAACAGCAGCTGTAGACAAAAAGGGCCGTGTCATGGAGTACGACGACAGTAAAGCGTTGGGCGATATTTCTGACGATACTGAAGACGCGATCCTACGTGTACAAACTTTCGTCTATAAACATGTTATACAGCGACAGACCTACATGATACAAACAAACTCCTGTTGTAATTGAAAGTCACGAACCACCAGAATTTGTGCCATCTGAGGTTTTAAAATTGTCGTCACAAGCACCTGCTATCTAACCTGCAGATGCTAGGGCACTAAACGTTACTTTTTTCCCAAATCTAGGAACGGTAAAGGGCAAACAAAACAGGACGTTTCAGAGGAGATCCCTGTTGCACATCAATCAACAACCGTGATATAAACTTCAATCGGTACAGGAAATAACAACCAATATATCAACCCGACAAGGGAGATAACATGATTTCTTCTACGTTAGGACCTACCATACTGCCGGTTAACAAACTTAACGACGGGGCTGAATCTTTCTACACACGAACACCGAGTTTCAAGAACATCATAGACGAGTTACAAATTTCAGACTCGGAACAAATAGACCCACAGATTAAGTGGCTTTGACCAGCTAGAGTCTGCCAGACATACCATTAGTATAAGGGCATCGAACGCCAACAACCCAACTAGAGGCATACACAGATTATGACAGAGGCTTGACGAGCGGTATGGTGCTCCACAAACGTTGGAGGCATCTCTTTGTTATTAACTTGTCAACTTCCAAAAAATTAATAACAAGGACAACACTTCTTTATGAATTGTCTGATATTCAATTGTAGCAAAATTGCCTAATGGATTCCAAACAAAGTGTATAACAAGAGCTTCAAGATATAAGTTAAAAACGAAGTTTCCTTTCCGCCATTCAGAGAATTATCTGCAATTTTCAGAAAAATAAGCAAGATCCAGAACTATCCTGGATTGAACTTCGAGTTGGAAGTTGCACAAAAGTTGTTGCGTCAAGGTTCACACCTCAGACGTACTCTGAAATCAACGTCTATAAGACGACAGTTGAACAGCAACTTGGAGACTGCAATCAACAACAACGACACATGTTTTTGATCTAGATACAACAATAATGACTGTGTCCATGTTTGGTTAAATTTGGCTGTGTAGTTTCAGAGGAGAAGATTTTTGTAAAATCTAACGAACGACGGACGCCAAGTGGTGATAAATGATTTTTTGACTTAACAACATACATTCGCGTACTATCAATAGAAAAGAAAGGATATGGAGTATCCATTCATGACAAAAAATCATTATGTGCACAGCAAAAAATAAATAACACAAAATGCAAAGGAACAGCGCTGTTATTGCTGTTCTTCATCACACAATGATGCTTTCAACAATGAGCAAAACAACCCTGTAAATTCAGTTTACATAAACTTAACTTTTACAATATAAAAATCAAACATACCTTGTTTTGCTTGGTGTTCAAGCTCAAGACAAACATCGTTCGCTGTTTCAAAACGCTGTTTGATCGTCTTTGTTCCGATGCAGCAGTCCAGTTCGAACGGATGATGAATGCATTCTTTCGAGACGTGATGATACTTCAGGCTGATTTCAACTTTGTAAAATACATCACTTCGAACGGAACTTATGTTCAACAATTTCGTTATATTTTTACCCTATTAATACAATTAGTAGAATTATTATTCTTTTAAAAACAGTTTTCTCACACGAGTGGCCGTGTTTCAACTTAACATATTATGAGAACATGACACAAAATTACATATTACAAAAATAATGTTTATAAAACGTTCAAACGAAAGAAAGTTTCCTTTAAGTTAAAAAATTGATACACTGTAACGATCAACCAATTCATGAAGTAGACAAACGAAATTGTAAAGTGATGATTCCATACTATTCTTTTCAAAACCTATGCAGGGGGAGAATATGTCTTTCGATGTCTTTGGGTTTCTGTCTCACTGAATATAATTTTTTTTATCCACATAATAATCTGTTTCAGAAACTGTGTTTTGTTATTATATCGAAACGTTTTTCTTACTAGTAGAAGTAAAATTCTTTTAAAATAACATCTGCCTCCACGCACAGTATTTACGTAAAACTAGCACTTTTAATAGTGAGTGTGGGAGTACAAGAATAATTAATTCAATGACTAATAATTCCAATGTCATTAAAAAATCATATCTGAAACAAAAACATAATCATCGTTTCGAAATCTCAAAGACTTTTGGTAATTTGATTGTTTGTTTATCAAAGTTCCATTTCCACAGTTTAGCTCTTTGTTACCCAAACATAACATTTTCGTGTAAGATTTTGTTTTCATTTGTTTTTGTTTTTAATTTTATGGTGATTATACAACATACCCCGATAGACGCTCTGCAAGCAGGAAATGGAAACACTTTTTCAAATTTCATTAAAAATAATATATGGTCGTCATCTTGCTTGAAAATAGTATCGTTGCTGCTTGGATGGTCTGGAAATATGATTTTCAATGTCATTTCAATGCAATGCAACTGATATTTTTACAAAGATTAAAAGAGTCAACATTGTGTTCCATATGTAAAATTTTCAAAAGTGTACACACATATTTTGTTAATTTCAGTCACGCCGATACGTATTTTAACTGTTACCTGCTCTCATCCTTAAACGCAATAAATATATATGACGATTGTGGTATGATGTGCTTACCCTGAAAAAATATCTTTCCAAATACAAATTGTCTTTATTGTTTATGTATTGTTTGAGGCACGGATCTAGTAAAAACATTCCATTGATGGAGCTCCATATTATGATTTCAGTATATTGCTTAATAACTTTGGACCCTTTAAAATATTTCAGGACCTCGATAGTTCGATTTTAGGATGTCTATAAATAATTACGGAATTCCTTGAGGAAGTACACCACTTATTCATGGCCCCATTGCTTTCTATGTTAAATTCCTCAATTACAAGCAGACACAGCTCTTTTGTTTCAAGTTCAAATAAAGTGACAATCATTGCATGTCAAAGCAACACTTTATGGTGTCTTGTACTGGAAAAATCAACATACCGTTAATGGCATATAAGAAAGAACTGGTTCCCGGAACTTCGGATGTACCAAAACAGGTACTTCAGATCTGATATACAGGCAAAAAGTACCCTCTTTATAAAATTTGGTGCAGTTTTTTTAATATTCAAAATTATAAGTCAAAAAGTGTTCTACAATGATCACCAGTCATTCAGCTTTCATTTGATACCAACAATACCGAAATATTCTACATATTTTGAAAGTTACACTCATGCGTAGGAACTATTTTGTGTTAAATATGTACTACTTTCTGGTATGTGCTTTCTGGCCGGGCCGAATTAGTGGTGTTACACCTATAACAGAACCAAACTTGCTATACTGACATCAGCATCACTTTATTTCATTCTATGATCTATTTCAAGCAATAAAAAACACATAAAGCTTAAGTCTAAATACTATTTTCCTAATTTTTAGCTCAAATTGGACTGGTAGTAACATATAGGTTATTCAAAGAAAACTGCATATGGATATTATAAATGGCCAATATACTTATTTTATTCTCAATAGCATTGTTTTATTTAATAATTTCTGTTAGGAAAACAATGTGCTTACCGATAGTCATTTTCACCAGAGTTTGTTCATTTAATAAAAATATATTAGACCAAACCTAAGACATAATTGAGAAAATTGTCCCCCCTTTTTTCTTCAAATTGGAAAAGGGACATTTTTGGTATAAACCATACTTCTGTGGTACAACATAGATTATAAAGAGCAATTTGTATTTTTTTCAGCTGGATAACCTGCTAAACTGGTTCAAAATTGCATGTACAGTGAGATTTTGGAATTCGTATATGAGTATATACCAATTGCCTAGATTGTAAACGGCTATCATAAGAAAACCAATAAAACTTGAAAAATCATAGGATTATTTGTCCAAGAGCTATTTTTTTACTATAAACAAGTCATTATATACATGTTCTATTGATTGCAATCCCAAGTAAAGGCTAAAATACCTGATTATGTCAATTTAAGAGCTGAAATTTCCCGTAAACAGAATTGTTCATCCAAAATAGATGATTAAACATGTTTACTTTCATCAAATATGACTTATTTTCATTGGAATAGGTACAACTTCTAAAAATTGAATTTCTGATGATTCTCTGTAATAGGAAGTACACCACTTATTCATAGCCCCATTGCTTTCTATGTTAAATTCCTCAATTACAAGCAGACACAGCTCTTTTGTTTAAAGTTCAAATAAAGTGACAATCATTGCATGTCAATGCAACACTTTATGGTGTCTTGTACTGGAAAAATCAACATACCTTTAATGGCATATAAGAAAGAACTGGTTCCCGGAACTTCGGATGTACCAAAACAGGTACTTCAGATCTGACATACAGGCAAAAAGTACCCTCTTTATAAAATTTGGTGCAGTTTTTTTAATATTCAAAATTATAAGTCAAAAAGTGTTCTACAATGATCACCAGTCATTCAGCTTTCATTTGATACCAACACTACCGAAATATTCTACATATTTTGAAAGTAACACTCATGCGTAGGAACTATTTTGTGTTAAATATGTACTACTTTCTGGTATGTGCTTTCTGGCCGGGCCGAATTAGTGGTGTTACACCTTGAATATTTAAGGACCTCCACAATTTGATTTCAGGACCTGCATTATTCTATCTCAGGTTATCATGAAATATCACAGGACCTCAAAAAATCCATTTCAGGATATCCTGAAATATTTCAAAAACTACACAAATAATTGTTTAGAATATATTCTATTTCAGAACATCAACAATCCAATTTTAGGATACATGTATCATTAAATATTTTTCAAAACCCAACAATTATTACAGGATACCCAAATTCGTAGAATATCCATACACATGTTTGAATTATAAGCTTGAAGAGATTGTCGAACATAAGTATTTATAATTGCCGACCATCAATTCATATCAAAGAATTTGTTCAAATATTTGTTCTCTATTCAATTACATAAGCAAGATGTATCTATAAAAATGCATGCTTATAACGATATCCTTTCCATAAAGGTTATGTTTGCATAATATTCAGTGAAAAATGCTTTGAGCAAACACTCTTATGTAGAAATGTTTATTGTTTAATTACTTTGTGGTAAATGTAATATATCAAGATCTCCTAAAATAAAATAATTGTGACTAAATCCGTGTCTCATAGATATGCCCTTAGATTCAGATTTCGTATCGTGAATATATCGGATACAACCATATTAATCTTGAAGGCAATAATGTTTAGCATAAGCCTTCTTTATGTGCATTACCAAAGTCAGGCGCTTTAATGCAGCGTTTGTCGTTGAGAGATGTCTATCATATTTGTTTTCAGTTTGTTGTTCTGCACATAAATCAGGCCGTTGGTTTTCCGGTTTGGATTGATATACATTTTGTCATGTTGGGGCTTTTTATAGAGTACTTTACGATACGGCCTTACGGAGACATATAGTTGTTTACAACTACGTTATTATATAAGAGGAATACTGTTCACTTAAGGTAGATTCATGGTATACCGCCATCTTGGATTGTACAATTGCAGTACACAATCGGTCTAGATCTTCGCCCAAATCTGCAAATTTGGAGACAGATAGGCAATTTATAGGTTAGACTGTTTATTTAATGAAAGAAAACTTGGTGATTTAAGGCATAATTAAAAATGTTTAAATAAATACCAAATAATTGTGTTTTTAGAATCATTTTTTCAACTTGGCCATTTAAGAGGAGATAACTCTTTTAGTAAAAAAATTATACTGGACTGATAGGGAAATTTTGATTTTTTACTTGTAGCAAGAAAACAAGTTCGGTGACACCATTTTTTCTTTTTATTTTCTTAAAGCATATTATAAAACCTATCTTCTCATATTTTATTTCAAAATTCTATCTCATAGATTTCTTTTTATGCACAAAAATGTGTTTTTTAATGAACAATCTAAGCAAATTTGTGCAATTTCGTACGACCCGTAGCTTGAAAAATAGCAGGGTGACCCATACTTTTTATTATATTTTTGGAAAAAGCATAGGAAAAACTTGATTTTGGCAAAGTATAAAAAAAAATTCTATCTGAGGAAATATATACCTATGATCTACCTTAAGATATAACTTATTGTAAGCTTGGCCTTCGTTAAACGTAAATTTTACTGTCGCAAATTGGGTTAACCTAACTAGCGACGTGTAGTGGAGCTAGGTAAACGGATATTTGTGACAATAAAATCAAGTTGTACGAAGGCCAAGCTTAAAATACAATACAGTTATCTCTATTCTAATGCTACATATTAAAAAAAAATCCATTTTAGTAAATATTTGGACTTTAAAACGCGAAACTGTTACATCGTCTTTGGCATATAACAAAGTGAGGTCAAAAGTTTACTCCCGAAGTCAAACATAAGCACCAGACGTATTTATACTCTTCGTAAATTGTTAAAATATTGACAAAAAGAAAATTGTGTGACCTTTTTGTTTATATTTTGAGAAATTACATCCCAAAAATTTAGAAATTCAAAATGGTGGCTTTCTTTAGATTATGGACTGGTAGAACGTGAAATCTAACCCTTCAAAATATTGTAAACGTCCAATGAAAATTATCGTTCTTAACGAATTGCATTAGAATATGAGTTTAGGTATGACGAAGTATAAAACTGTGTCGTCGTGTAAATAGTAAATAGTAAAATACAATTTAGAGCTTCATTTTTTTTTTTATATCAAATTGAAAATATTAATATGAAGAGAAATAACATGAGATTGAACATACACCAATTTTGCAGAGATACTTACATTCGAAATTTTCCACGGTCATATTCAAAACTTTCTTGTACGTATGAAAGCCATGTTGGCATGTATACGGCACGTTCACGTCACCAGATTCTAATGACGTTATAGTTAAAATTGAGGTTCGTTTTGCCTCGTCTAACTTTTCTGAATATTTTGTATCGTTTACAGTCTTGCCATTTACCACCAATACTTTAATGTTGTCTCCTTTACTCCAATGTCTGTGGTTGTTGAGTGTTGTATTATCATCCAGGTTACAATGTAATTCTATATCTTTTCCAAACACTGCTGGTTTAGTGGCCAAGCTCCATGATACCGAACCTGTAATAAAAAAGTATTAATAAACTACTATTTCCCTAGAAGATTTTATTTTTGAATATCTATGTCCCAAATCTGTTATCTATATTTTAATATATCAAATTTACATGATTTTAATGAATTCTATAAAATTACAAGTCAGGCGCTTCAAGTGTTGATATCTTAGTGATCAAGTTTAAATTATTATTTATCCTTTAGGAAACATAATGTTTAGGTTGATCTTGGATAATCTTTGATACATTTAAATTTATTTGCCGGGCTCTGTAAATGTCATGTACTTACGGGTTTATACTTGCATGATCAATACGACGGGTGCCACGTATTGAACTGGATCTGCTCTTCCTTTCAAGTCACCTGAGATCACCCCGGTTTAAGGTGGGGCTTGTGTTGCTCAGTCTTTAGTTTTATATGCTGTGTTTTTTATACTGTTATTTGTCTTTTGATCGTTTTGATTTCTTGCCATGACATTTTCAGTTTGTTTTCTACTTATGAGTTTGAATATCCCTTAGGTATCTTTTGCCTCTCCTTTGTATTGTCGAGTTGCTGTCTCATTGATAATAACTTACATCTATTCAGTTTAGTTGTATGATAAGATTTTACGTAAAAAATCCCGTACATACTGTGTAAATGAGTAGAGGCAGTAACCCAAAAAACGGCCCTGATAAGGTGTATTTTTTAAATTCTAATGTGTATGTATTATTTTTGAAAGTATAATAGGAAAAATTGTATATTTGCTTCATATATATAAATATATAAGTCTGAAAGAGTAAAAAGATTTCATTTTAGTCCTTTTTATCAAAAAATGTCACCTTTTTCGACATTTTTTCATGATTTTATATGTGTCGCCATCCCTCGATCATTGAAACTTTGATTGAAAAGTCAAGAATATTGTATGTAAAAAATACTTCAGCAAAAATATTGTGGACGAGGGCTGGCGCCACTGTTAATATTTCGGAAAACTGTCATAAATGATGCCCAATTATGCAAACAATCGTTCTTACGTAATTCTTATATATTTGTGGCGTCATAAAGACACAACTAGTGACGCAATTGTTGAAAATCTTTTTTAACACTTAAACACAAGATTTTATCAAATCTTCACAGCATTAGCGCAGTTAGAAATTTTCAGATTTTTAGGGCCAAAGTTTTGAGTTAGTGAATCAACACCTTTAAATTAATGAATGAAAAAATAAATATGATCATATGTTAAGTCGAATAAAATGTTGTCATTACTCACCATTGGATAATTCTATAATACTCAGTAGCAATAGAAATATCTGTTCAAATAGAAATTGGCAATACATTAGCCGTCAAACAATATCTTTCTATAAGACATATATTGAAAGCATAATTTATTCTTACGCTCCAGCATAGGCTTTATGCCATTTGATAGTATAGAACCAACATAAGTGATACTTTGTTTTATCAATATGTAAGAACATTCGTTGTTCATATCTATAAATAGTAAGACAGTTACATGTAGAAAACTCTGTTTGGAGAGACTATCAAACTGTTGTCACTAGCTCAAGAACAATTAGAAGCAAAATAGCAAATGAGATCGGTGTGTTTTAAGTTCAGGCAATAGGTTTAAAATGCCTTTCTAATTAATTATTCATTAAAACAGGTCAATTTTATGTTTTGATAATTCTTAGGGATTTTCAATTTATTTCTTTAAATCATGTGAACATCCGAAAAGTGTCCTTTTTCATTTGTCTAAAGGACTTAACCAGAAAATGTTAAATCTATGTTGCATATCAGCCGCTTTTGTTTTTATGTTTTTTGTTGAAGACTTTCTGGTTGAGTTAAATAACCAGAGCATTGACATGTTCCAGTATCAGTAGGCTAGTATAGATGGTGCACGAGAAATTTGTTACCAATATCGTATCATAATCAATACAAATACTGTGCTTCGACCTCCCTCAGACGGCAAAGTTTCGAAGAACATCCTTCAGTGCTATTAAGATTGGATAATTAAGAAGTGTAAAACTTTGTTAATTGTCATTTGTGCAACCAATAAAAATAAATGAATATAAAGTTCCACACACGGCGAAACCTGAGGAAACAAATAACAACCATTTAAATTGGTGTACATATTCAATATGTGTGGAATCGATGTGAACAATTTGAGTTATATTGAAGGAAAACTGTTGGAGTTATGAATGAACCAAAAATAGATACCCTTTATAGGATAAATTGACAAAAAATTATTAAGTCTACCCGTTAGAATAACATCAACATTTTTATTAATACTCAACTAGATGCGCATTACGAAAATGAATGTCTCTTCAGTAATACCCGAGGCTAAAATATTTTGAGAGTCCAAAACCAAATGCAAACATTCAACTGCATATAAAGCACAAGAAACTCGATGCAAATAATAAAAGATGCAAACACCAATCTGTGTGTAATCACTTTGCAATTGATATTTATGTTGAAAACATAATTATTGGAGTTATGTTATAGATAATGCATATGGTTTCTGGTCAAGATGTGTTATACGACTAGACAAACCTTACACTATGCATTATCTGACTTGTATACTGTAACAAAAATATTTTTTTTCTGCAAAGATTTGCTGAAAATTATATCTCATTTTACCGATCAATGAAAAGTAGGATATTCTGTTCTACTGCTGTTATGTACACACACGACAAATTACTCAATTACAAGGTGAAATAAAACTCACTGATCGATATATAAACGCTTATAATCACTGTCTAGTTCATTAAAAACAGTTACTGTAAATGATTGAAGCGAGAAACAAATAAAGTGTTACGGTGTATGAAAAATACAAGTCACGTGGTTAGTAATTTATTACATTAACTTTAGAAAAGGGGGTCCTATTTTGTTTCTTTTTTCTTTTTTCATGACATTTTTACGCAGAAAAGCAGATATTTTTTAACATTTTTAAACGAACTATTCGGAATAATTGTTTAATCTCTTATCTGGTAATACATTTTATGTCTTCGAATATTTAGAAATAAGATAAAATATTAACCCCCCCCCCCCCAAAAAAAAATAAATATTAGTAATTTGATAGTATAAAAGAAAATGTAATATTTACAACTGTAAAAATTCCCGAACTTGCACGAAGAGAGCACAAACTCGTAATGCTTAAATAATACGAAAAACGGACATCCATGGTTGTGAATCAACAAGATTGTTTTCTTCTGGTCTTTTATTAATCCTACACATAAAGGTTATAACATTTGGTTTGTTTTAAAAACGTATGGCAAACTTTTCCATTATTAAATCTATCTCACATAATATCCCTTTATAGTACCGATAAATTAAAAAAACTCATTATTTGTTTCTGAAATTGAACGACGTATTTTTGGGATATTTTACTCTAATAACGGAGTAAAGGATTGTTAATGCCTAAACCTTTGAAGACTATAAAGATGGGAAATTGTACTATAAAACCACAATTGGCAACAACACACGGTTACTATCAAATGAATTAAATGTTTAAAAAAACTGAAGCTTTCATTTTAATCAGGAAAAATAATGATCTAACACAGGTCATTATTTATGTAACATCATTACATATATAAAACAATTTATAACCAACGACTTACCGTTTGAAAATTTGCAAATCGCTTTTTATCTATTTGTTTGAAAACCATTCTTCTCTCTTCTTTTCTTGCTTGTTGGGTTTCTTTCTTGGTGCCTTTATAAACGATAGAATACTTGATGTACAACTAATAGGGTCTTTTTTCCCATCTAGAAACTACATACTTTATACAGTTATATACCTTCTTCATATCATATAGAGAGTAAATATAAAAGGTTCAAGTTTTAAGGTGGTACCTAACACTACAGGGAGATAACTCTGTAAAAATCAGCTAAACGTTTTAATTACGTTGTTTTGTTAAGGAAATATTAAGCTTTTCAATGATCAAAATTGGTGTTTATCAAACTGCTATATAACCAATGAAATTTTTCTGATAAAGTGGTTGGTTCAAATTTTTTGAAATTTTTATATTTTTGTCAAAGGGTCAAAGTAAACATTTTGTCAAAATTTTATGAAAATTAAACGAGCCAAATTAATATTAGTCAAGGTGTTGGGTACCACCTTAACAGAAGCCGAATTTTTCATGATGCTCATAAGTTATTATGATATATGATAAGTTTATAATGATTTTACTTACTTTAAGAAGAAATAATTTCTATTAAACTCATAAATCAGTAAAACGTAACTTTGAATGAGTGTCTATCTATATAAGATACTTAGAAAGATTTAAATCTTTAATTTTTGGAATCAGAGGATTGTAAACCTATTCTATATGATACGTAGATAAAACGTTTTTTTGTTATATAACAATGATATAATATAAACGTCGCCAGTATTAAAGTGTTTAAATGCAAGGTTAATGTACTAATATACAATAAATTATTGATTAAATGTATATGCATTGTTCTGCAACGTACGTAAAATGGTTAGCCTACATTATACATTGTTAGAACTGTTAGTATAAATCTACAAACATAACAAAAATACTTCATGTTTTATTTCAAATCCAGTGAAATAATTCTGTACCAATACCGCAATTCTGTTCAGTGATTTCAATATTTATTTCTTTTTGCTGGTTAAAAGTGAAAAATTAATATTACAATGACTAATACAAATAATTTATTTTATACAAATGAGACTCATGCTTTAAAAGAGTTAAGATTACTGTCATCTTGTAAGAAGTTTTAGATAAATACATACGTTGAAATTGCATGGAGATTAATATCGTCACTTGCGATTTTTCATATCACAAATTTGATATAAAACAAAATTTTCAAAAAACTATCTTTGATATAAAGAAAGAAGATATGGTATACTTGCCAATGAGACTCTCCATCAGAAACCAAATGACATAAAAATTAACAACTATAGGTCACCGTATAGTCTTGTGTCATTTCATGTATGGTTGTAATAAACTTGGTACCTTTGCAATGAATTTAATATAACTGAAGAATTCCAAAAAAAAAAAAGAAAAACACTCTGCGATAATAGAGAGTTAATTAGCATAAAATAATTGAAAATTATAAATATTCCATAGAATTAAATTAAGAATAGGCAAAAGATATAGAAGAAAAACTATTGTTTTTAGATGACATGATAGTATTATACAACAAGCACAAATTACATGGGAAAGGAAATCATTTATTAAAAAACTCAAAAATAATTTAACATGATAAAATCAAACAATGCATATTGCAATGTAGTTATGATTTGACGTATTCTCACTATCCACTTGAATACAGTTTTAATTGTTTTCAATTGATTGAATCCCACATAACTTCAAAAATCATGAAGCTAATTACATCAATGATATGTTTGATTGCTTGGTTTGGACATACCGGTAAGCTATATCATAAAACAATAAGTTAAACATTTTGTTCTGTTAACTTTTGCCTTAGGTTACAATTCTTCAGGTATCCATGTCAAATCTACATCACGTGGTCAACAGAGGGTAAAAATAGATTCCAAATGAAAGGCTATTAACTCCATAGAAATGAAAAAGAATAATTGTGATTTTCTTACTGTCATTTATTAAATCCACCAATTGCATACCTAATATTTTAAAAGATCATTTGCTGTGAAATTAATTTTCACTTATTTGACTCAAATTCTCATATTCTATTGATGACATAATTAAACGTATATCTAAATTGCAGAACTTGCAAGCCATTATTACTCCAGTGATGTTTTTTAAGCTTATCTTGTCAAATTTGAAGCGAACAGAATGACAATAACAAAATATTTTTTCATAATTATGCTTTTATCAATGTTTGAAAAAAAAAAAACCTAATTGATAATTTTTTGTCTCAATCGTAGCTAATGCTCCTTAAATACACACAGGTTTATTTAAGGTCTAAATTGTCGATTAGGAAAACATTTCATGTCTAATTTTGCCATTTATCTTTTTAAACCCAAATTAAATATCAAATAGTTTTCAATAATGGGGCATACATTTCTGTATACTACGAATGTTGAAAACCATTCATGAGTAGTTCAGATATAAAAGACAGCAAACACCCGACAACTACTGACTTGGAACAGGCACATCAAAGAATTTGGCAGGATTAACATGATTGTGAACGCTCAACACTCTCCTTACCAAAGTTGACATGTCTCACTTCGAAGTTGACATTTAGGTTCAACTTGAAAGTGAGGTGTGTAAACATTGAACGTAGAAATATAAACACATGTTCTTAATCGTTGATTTATTTTATTCAATCAAAAACGTTGACTTCTTTTGGCCGACTTGGTATTGTTATTTACTTTTGTTGCTTCACTTTTTATTATACTGAAGGATTGTGTGTGTTTTACTTCGAATTAAAGTTTTCGAGTTGCAAATTGTTAATGTTTATGTTCTACTGTTGTATTTGACAGATTCTAGAGCAGTGTCAATATATAGTGCAGAGGTAGGGGATACTGTTAAACTATCTTGTCCAGGGAGGTCCAAAAATTCTGTAACATGGTACGGTCCTCCAAACTATATGCCCTATAGAATAGACGGAAAAATAAACCCTACACTAATCGACAAAAATATCGCAATGGTTGGGAATCATAGTAACGGAGAATATAACTTAGAAATTATCAAGGTGTCGTTCTCAAACAAAGGAAATTACAGATGTAGATTATTAAACAGTAGACCAGTCGAATATGAGATATTGCTAATAGTTAAAGGTAAAATATTTGTAACATTTAGAGTCGTCATCTTGATGGAACGTCAATAATGTATTTTGTTATTTTCTTGAATTTTATTTCAAAATATCAATACGGAATGTGAGCAAAAAATATAAAAATGTAACAGAAAAGTTCGTTTTTTAAAGCAAAGTTTACTTTTAATGCTTTCGATACGGAATAGATCAAACGAACATTTATAATTGGAAACATAACTTGTTTCGATGGTTTCCTTATTATAATTATTCTGAATTATCGCTTTGGCTTCATTACGTTTTTTTTTGTATCTTTTGGTTACTATCTCATTGACGTATCCCTCCTTTTTCTTTTATTGATATGATGGTGTAACTTGACATCACGTCATAAAACGCAAATCATTGAAGATCTTTATTTTAATTGGTAAAAACAAGAGATAAGTTGAAGTCGAGTTGACGAAATGATTATGTTGACCTTCGGAGATAATCATCTAAACAACTCGACATAATAATCTCGACAAGTCGACTTAGAATATCCCGGTAACTCGTCCTTAAGTCGGTCTGAATGCTCACATCTTGCGTCGTGTGGTCGTGTCGCCGAGATAATTCAGTGGCGACTTAATTATCTCGGCGACACGACCACACAACGCCAGATGTGAGCATTCAGATCGACTGAAAAGCGCTTCATACTAAAAATGTGCGCACGAACAACGCTTTTACAACCTATAAAATAACAAAAAGAAGCATTCAATTATTATAATTGAATGGTTATGCTAAACAAGCATGAAATTACGAGTTATAGCAAATTTTTCGTTTGTTTTCCTATATACATGTACATTGTTGAGACGTTGTCATAAGAAGCAGGTGCTGTCCTGAATGTTCAATTTCATAGAGAAGTTCAATTTGATATTGGAATGCCTTGCGAATTGCTTTCATCGAATCAAAAGTACGGATGTTTTTAAAACATACATGTTATATAATAATAGAGGTATACAAGTATCACAATAGACCAATATTTCCTCAAATAAGCCGTGATAATGACGCAGTAAATTCAGTGTATCTTATAGCAGTTTAGCTATATATTCTCACTTTTTTAAATTTGAAGTGGTAATAATGATGTTTTATTTCTTGACATTGAAACCTACGTTTTTCTTCGTTGAAATATATAAGAGACCATGTTTAAGATACCAAAGTTTAATTAAGTGCAGATGATGATGGCTAAACAATAACTATTAACACAATCATGGCAATGATTTAGTCATTTTAGTCGCGCCACCGTCAAGTGCACAGTCGTGCAGCTTTCCGTTTTGATATAATTCAATTCTACAATGAAACAAAATAATTAAGTAAACAATTACAGGGTTTTCCGTTACAATCGATTTAATTATCCGGATGTTTTGTTATTTGGTTAGATAGAGGTTTCGAAATATCCTGTATTCTCCATTGTATAAATTTAACACCAAACCAAAGTACAGCAAACCAGTTTTATTAAGAGGAAGATATGCAATTCTTCATTTTGTAAAAGCAAATTTGTCTCAAATATACCAATATTCAATTATATTTATTTTTCATTTTGTAATTTTAGTAATCAAACTATTAGGTATTGCACCGTTAAATCGATTTATATTAATTTAATTTTGTCTTACCATTGATAGACATACTATATCACATATAAATTAGCTTTTGGTAATATAAGATATCTATATTTCCACTTCATTAGAATGTGAACACATTTTTGATAATAGTTCTGAGGAATGGTCATAGAAAAAGTGATTGTGATCTTTTCTGCGATTTATGAGTGTAGAAAAAGTCACAATCAAATAGGTGTATATTACAATACTATATATCTGACTTTTTGTGTTTTTTTATTATTGAAGAAACTCTTTTTTAAGGGTTGCAATACAGTTAAGTATAAATACCTGTATTATGATCAAGTCATTGGTAACAACAGATATTATAGCTTGATAATCTAGCTAAGCGACAAAATACGTCTGCTGACTTTTCCATCATTATTTAACATGAAAGATTTCTACAATAAGCGTTTTAATAAAAAAAGGACATAAGATAACAAAGGTAGAAAAAACTTCGAAGGAAAATGGATAATACTATAATAAAATAAACAACAGACGAAAAGACAAACAACAGCAAATTAAACACAAAAACACATACACTAGTCCGAGGAACATAACAATTACCAAGTGAGGTTCAAGATAATTTCTAAAAGCTTTATCCATAATCATATGCTAGTATTAAGATTTCTTATCTTTAACCAATTTTGTTTCCGTGTCACTGCATTCACTTGTTAGTATAGAATCTAATGTTTTTACACCGCATTCATTCGTTCGCCATTTATAGTGTCATATATGCGCAATGCTTTTAATGTGTAGACCAGTTTGAACATTTTCATTTTTCTTTCTAATAGATAAACCAACAGTTGTTAAAGAAATAACAGAAAAACATACATCATATGATAACCATGAAGAAACAACAACTCCTAACAATTTAGCTCTCAGCTCTTGGCATAATGGTAAAACTGATAGCCTCAAAGTATTTTGTACTTTTTAAGTGTGTTAGGTTCCCTATATGTTATATCATATTTTTTTTATTCTATAGACCCCATTTTTATTTATATTAAACTCAAACCAGGTTAAAATATAATGTTGTGAATAAAATAACTTTTAATTCATGTCGTGCGTTAACAGCGCTTATCTGAGTTTCATTTCGTTATGAACTGTCAAAATGTAAAAGAAAGTTAAAGCCAAGGATTAATAATGCTTGAGGGGCTTTATGACAAAGGAGTGCCAACACCATCCTTGATCAACTTTGCCTGAGGAATTTTACATTTTAGATAAATTCTAAATTCACCATCACAAAGGTTTTAATTACTCGAAGACAACCAAGACATATATATGGTGTTTTTAAGGGCTTTTCCTGCGTTCACAAATATATAAAAAATCAATTATTTTCAACTAACAAATATATTTATTGTTTATTTTGTAATTTAGAATATCAAACTATTTGGTGATGGACCGTTAACTCGATTGAAATAAAACTTGTCTGACCATAGATAGACATTTTATATTACATTTAAACCAGCTTTTGGTATATTGGATATCTTTATGTTTACTTCATAAACTTGCACGTCTTTGATGAAAGTTGTGTCCGATTGTCATGTAAGTTGAGATTGGTATCGATTCTGAGATTTATGAGTGTTGAAAAAAATCATAATCAAATAGGTGTATATTACAATACTGAATATCTGACTTGTTTTTGTTTTTTTTATAATTTAAAAAAAATATTTAAAGGTTGAAATATGGTTAAGCATGTATACTTGAATTATGATCAAGTGATTGATACAGTTAATAATTATAGTTTGATAATCTGGTTAAGCAACTAAAATAATTTGCTACATGTTCCATCATACCTTTACATGGATGATGTATGCACTAAGTATTAAAATAAAAAAGAGTAAGATAATAACAAAGGAAGAACAAAAGTCGTAGAAAAATGATAAAACCATGAACAAAAACAAATCCGACGAAAAGACAAACAACTGCAATTTTTTTTATAATATCCGAGCAACAAAACAATTTACAAACGATGTTTTTAATGTGATTTCTTATAAGTTTTATCTATAATCATACGCTAGAATAACGATTTATCATTTTTTTTTTAATCAATAAGGTTTTTTTTCGTTTCTGTGTCTTCACTTAATTGTTAGAATAGAATTAAATGCTTTTTCACCGCATCTATTCATTGTTTAGGGACCAGTTGAAACCTGCCTTTGGGTGCGCAATTTTCTCGCTGTGTTGAAAAACCTTTGGTGGCCTTGGCCTGTTTTATGCTATTTGGTCGGGTTGTTGTCTCTTTGACACATTCCCCGTTTCCATTCTCAATTTTATTTCATCATTTCACAATGTCGTCTATGCGTAACGCCATTAATTTGTAGACTAAATAGATTGATAATTTTCTTTATTCTTTCTAATAGACAAACCAACAGTAGTTAAAGAAATAACACATACATCCTATGAAGAAACAACAAATCCTAACACCTTAGGAGTCAGCTCACAACATATTGGTAACACTAATAGTCTGAATGTGTTTTTCTTTTTAAATTTGAAAGCCCGAGATTTAAATGTGTTAGGTTCCTTATATATTATATATATTTTTTTATTCAATAGACGCTATTTTGTATTCATTAAATGGGTAACTGCACGTTGATTTGTTTTAGAATATTCGTTGATGCATAAACTGCTTGTTTTTTTTTTTACCGTAAAATCAAGCCAATTTTAAATGTATTGTTGCAAATTAAAAAAAACTGTTAATAAGTGTCATGCGTTCAAAGTGCTTATCTGAGTTTTTTATTTAATAGATTTTGATAATCTAGCTTAACGACAAAATAAAACTGCTCAATTTCCACCTTTAATTTACATAGACGATATAGAAGATACATGCACTAAGCATTTTAATAAAATAGAGCTAAAAAGTAACAAAGGAAGAACAGAAGTCGAAAAAACGGATAAAACCATAACCAAAAGGAAATCCGACAAACAGACAAACAACAGTTACCTTAAAAGATAAATACCGAGAAACAAAGAAATTAACAAGTCAAGTTGCAATATAATTTCTTATAACGTTTGTTCAAACATATTTATTTATAGATCAAACAAAAGTAGTTAAGGAAAGAACAGAAGCACATTCATCATATGACAACCACGACAAAACGACATCTTCTAACAATTCAGAAGATAGCACTCGACATAATGGTAACACTAATAGCCTAAAGTATTTTTCTTTTTAAAGTTGAAAGCCTGAAGTTCTATTTTGTTTGGGTTCCGATATTATATATGATTTTTGTTTTGTAATAGACGCTATTTTGCAAAGCGTACTTCTATTTTTGATGAAACCATTAAGAAATAATTCATTGCCGACGTAGATTTGGTTCCATTTAACCATAGATTGGGCATTCATATTCGATACTTTTATTTTGAGCATTAACGAGTGTTAAAATAAAAATATACTATTAAACGCCCATGAATTATTGCGATTCTAGTAGGACAAATGCGGTAATTTTTTCCACCGTGAAAAGCCCTTTAGACACGATACTGTTTTTGGCAGTACCGTTTTACCCCCATATAATGATATTATTAATATAACATTTTTGAATAATATATTTTAAAAAAATCCAGTTTTTCATCTAAAACTGTTCTTTTTATATAATTTTGCTACATTCTTAAACGTAAAAGAACCTTAAAACGCCCAGTGTTTACATTTGACGCCGGAAGCAGACGTATGACGTAATTTTGATAAGTTGCCAAAGACGATATTTCGTGGAATTTTCGTTTTATGACATTTTACAATGAAATGAATACGGAAATGGACTGATTTGTTTATTTCTCATTCATGATATTTGAATAGAGATAATCGTTTTGTGTTTGAAGTTTAGCCTACGTCAAATATTGGTTTTAAGGTCAAAATTGAGTTCGCATAAATAAGATGGGCGTAACGCAGAACAGTCAGTTGTGTGTATTAATGCGTCTGCACCTAAATGTAGATAAACTGTGATTATACTGGTTAACGATACATAGGTAGTCTTATTAAAATATGTTCGATGTCCTGATAATAAGAATGACGATTTATTATTAAAGCAATAAGCTTTAAATAATATAGGTGTGGTGTGTTCGAATGGTTTTTCTTATTTCAGTCATCATTCAGTTTTCCCATAACAAAATAGGTTTTACTTTTTGTTTAATTGCTCTTAAACATATGAATATTTGCATATTGTTTTGTTTCCATCGATTTTTTTTTAATGACTGCAACCTTATTTTGAGATTTTTGAGCGACAATTCAAGTTTTTTTGTTTCTAACAATTCTTTCAATTATTCAATTGGTGTCAAGAATCACTGATGATACGTAGCACGTACTTTAGTTTGATTTAAAGAAGAAGATTTGAAAAAAGTAATTATTCCACATCTGAAATTGAAAAAAAGTAAAATCATTTAAGCCTTTCAAAACTATCATCGTCAGTTTGTCCATTTTTTTTATAAATGAACAAGTTAACATGATCATGGACAGTTTAATGCAAACAAGTAATGTCACTGTGACGTCAAAAACATGTACTAATTGTTATATATATATTTGTTATAAAATGGACACTTTATACGTATTTCTCAGCAGTATCATACCTTTTGCCCACCAACAGGCGTATACATATCTCAGTTAATATGTTAAGTTTGTGCTTGTTTACCCTACACGGACTTCATTAATAAGGTGCATTTTCCTTACTCAGAAATTCCTCTAACGGAACTATGAAAAAAAAAAAAACGAAATCAATATTTCAAACGTTTTACGATAATCATAACGGATTGGGTATCTCAACTGACTAGCGACATGTTTTCGCTGTTTTTAATCTTTTGATATGTGTTTATTGTTTTGATCTGTAATTGAACGATTGAGTCCTACTATCCATTGTTAAGGATTGACAAATCGTAGATTCGCACTACGAATGATGCATATATAGAAGGAGTCACTCTTTGTCGACGCACTTGGTATTAATCTGTTGGAGTTAAAGCAATCCCTCAGATTTTTCTCATTACCTTGCTTCGTCTCTGCTGAACATTTGTTAACCACAACTGTCTCAATTTGGTAATGTGAATTTATTTGTTTTTCATTAACACATGTAACACTTTTTTCAGATGGCCCAAACGAATCTCGTTACATTATATTATGCATAGTCGCATTTATAGCTATGTTTGTTATTGTAACGTGTACATGTATCAGTATTGGTATAAGGAAATAAAACCCGTCAGATAACGATACAACACATATTTACGATGAAATTGAAAGTGACTTATCACGAGGTGTAACAAAAATTGGTAGCCAAATTATTACTGGAAACATTGCATTAAATGAAATAATCGAAGACATATTATATCAATCATCGGACACCAATACAAATACATACGAAAGAAACTATACAAATTCTCAGGTGCAAGTATCCAAAGAAGCCAGTTTGCATGCAACCCATTGCAAGAGTGAGACTGATGCAATCACGGTTTATCTAAACGATACACTTACTGGTTACAGCGATCATGAAGATCCAGATATCGACCTTCATCTATATGAACCAATCTGAGAGGTGCAAGTGTTCAAAGAAGCCAGTTCGCATGTACCCAATTGCAAGAGTCAGACTGATGCAATCACGGTTTATCTAAACGATACATTTACTGGTTACAACGATCATGAAGATCCAGATATCGACCTTCATCTGTATGAACCAATCGGAGAGGTGCAAGTGTTCAAAGAAGCCAGTTCGCATGTACCCCATTGCAAGAGTCAGACTGATGCAATCACGGTTTATCTAAACGATACACTTACTGGTAACACCGATCACGAAGATCCAGATGTTGACCTTCATCTATATGAACCAATCGGACAGATGCAAGTGTTCAAAGAAGCCAGTTTGCATGTACCCCGTTGCAAGGGTGAGACTGATGCAATCACGGTTTATCTAAACGATAC